GACCTGCTGATGGGTTGACGATTGTTACGTCGATCAGAATGGACTTGGTGCAGAGGTCCTCTTCCTTCTCTCCTGCGTGTAATCCTGGGGGGATTACCAAATCCATCTTGTATAGCCCCTTTCCCCTACCAGTGCCTGTGGTAAAAGGGGAAGAATCCTCAACGGCGATGGGCATATGGCACTCGCGCAGTGTCTTGAGGACCACTCGAACCATCCTGTTATGGAGGAAGGTTGAGGCGCCGGTCTTGGTGCAGACGAGGGAGGGGGCTCGGCTCAAGCGGTCCTTGCATGGTAACAACGCATCTGCACCACAAATATTGCCTGTGTCGCAGTCGNAAAAGGGGAAGAATCCTCAACGGCGATGGGCATATGGCACTCACGCAGTGGCTTGAGGATTACGCGAACCATTCTGTTATTATGGAGGAAGGTTGAGGCGCCGGTCTTGGTGCAGACGAGGGAGGGGGCTCGGCTCAAGCGGTCCTTGCATGGTAACAACGCATCTGCACCACAAATATTGCCTGTGTCGCAGTCGGCTCGATCGTGACTCCCCAGTACACGACCGATTGACTCTCGATATAGATCAGGCAGCATTCTTTCATCTGCTGACAGCCCTTGCGTTGTCAACCACGACAAAGCTCCCTTGCCTTTCGCTTCCTCCAAGCGGATCAATGCTCTCTACTTTGACATTTCCTCACCTGCTACCTTCTGCAAGTCTGTCTCCATCGTCATGTGACGCACTGCTGCATGAAAAGGTTTCGAAAGGAGAGCTTGGGCTCCAAAGGCTTGGTAGTGTTGACCAAATTCATTTCGGTTGTAGGTCGACGGTGGTTGATGTTCTGCGTCAGGGTTTCCATCTTCACTGGGTATTCCCGCCTTCCCTGCTTCCAACAGGTAAACTCCTTTGAGGGCGAGGATTAATTAACTCATCACTTGTGGCAAGTTTAGCCCGTGACTGCTTTTTCAAGCTTGTCTTTGGTGATGATCTCCTCTAGCTTCTTGAGTGAGTCAATCAGGGCCAATCCCGTCGGTAGCTGGGCAAGCCGGAACAGACATTGCTCAGCTGTGTATCGTGTCGATGCTTGCACTGACTTGGAGAACACCATAGCGCTTGCCCTGCCACAAAAGCCGATTATCGCATGAGAACATTGCACGTGATTCCTAGTCCTCCTTCACGCATGGATGGGTAGGTGCACCTGTGCCCGAGCTGTCCCCACCTTCGTCCTGCGGTGCGTGCTGAATTTTATTTTTATCGCGAGAAGGGTCCAGCCGTCCCTTCCCTCGTCAACGGTGCTAACGTCGAAGTTTGGTACTCACGAGAGCTTGTCAGCTATATTTCGCTTCCACCCCCGCACATTTCGTAAATTGTTCACCCCGTGGGGACTCGAAATCACGAACTCTGCAACTAGCGGGTTTCGAGGATACCACTAGACCACCGGTGCGACCGGTCGTCTGTATCCCGCGGGAATGAACGCCAGAGCGCAGAAAAATTGCAAAGTTTGTGGAAAGATAGATACAGCATCGGTTTCGTTGCATGCACATGTCTCATTGTCCGCGCGGTGCAGTGTGTCCTATGGTGTGTCCTATGGATGGACGCGATAAAACGACAGAGTTGAGTCGACGAAGAAGGCGGCGATGAAAACGAATAACAGTTGCGGTCCACGAAGAAAATGACAGCTGGGCGTACAACGGCGCACCGCTTTTTGAAAGCGTCGAAAGGTGTTTCTGCGTTAAACGATAGACGTTACTACATGTTGCTCAGTTCCGAGTTCCACATGAGGCTGTAGCCAAAAGGTGTACATCGCGCGTTTCTGGTCGTCAAAAGTGCCGCCAAGACCTGTCTTTGGAGTGCTGTCGTCATCGCCTATCAAGTGATGATTCCACCGACGACGCGATTTTTACGGCAACGAAACTGACGTGTGAGTATGTGTACCCACCGCACACTGCTGCGGGCTTGCGGTCCACATGCAATCGAACACAAAGGCGTCATGAGCACGCACTTTCAAAAATTGGACGGCCTCGAGATCGACGTCCAAATAATCGGGATGATGTGACAGCTCGGGGGAATTCTGTACGTGACAATGCTGTCAAATCATGCAGAGAACTGCTACGTGTATGCGTATAATCCCACCAGGTGCCGCGGACTACTCCTCCTGTGCTGCCCCTGTTCACTGAAATATAATTGAGGGCTACCGAAGCATTTAACGAGACAACGCTGTCTTTCCAATTCGGCCCAGGCTTCCCACAGACAAAAAACGTTTCCGCAGCCAACAAAAAATATATACCATGAAAAAATGCCTCAACTCCATGACACAAAACGGACCGCCTACGCAGGATTTTAAGAGTATCTAGAAAAAGAACAGCGAGGGGGCACGTAGACCCTAACCCTAACCCTAACCCTAACCCCAAAGCACGGATTGAATACTGTATCCCATGTGTTTGCTAATCTTTTGCTGTGTAGACTACTGCACAAAACCCGACCACCACACCCAGAACTCATCCGCACCTCGACAAACAGTACTAAAAATTATGCTTATGCTGCATCCAAACAGCGTAAGCACGGACCAAAATTCATGCCACAAACCATACTCCACTTCAAACCGTGTGGATAGTAGTTAACCTTCAGCCACCCAAAACTCGTAGAGGCCCGCCCGCTTGTATTCACTCTGTAGACACCCCCCCCTCCCCCCTCGGACAACCGCTCCACACTTATTTGGATGCGAAACGAATGAACAAAAGAACAACACTGCGTCAATGCTGGTCAGGGAAAGCATGCAAAATGGAGCTCGTACATGCGAAGGCAGGATCTTAGCACCAGATACTTTCCCTTGCCCTGGAAATGATGATCCAGGTTGTTCGACACCATAAAAAAAATCACACCGACCTTCATGTCAATGCAATGACCGCGTTAAGCAATGATCCCCCCACATACATACACCGTCAAAGCACAACGACCAGAGGTCGCCCTCTACTGCTCCCCAAGTAGGACCAGGTAGTCCCCGCTGGCTACGACACTAGGAACTGTCGGGTAGGCGTCCCCGAGCTCCAACCTCGCCTGTTACGGAACACGAAGGGAGGGCAGGGCGGGACGACATGGCGGTTGCCTTGGTGTCGAACAGAACAAATGTCGGTGCGTGCCATCCATACATGGCACTCACGTGTGTGTGTGGTGCGAAGTGAATTACGAGTGAAATCTGTTTTCCGTGATACAGTATCTGTAATTTTCGCGCAATGGCCTGACCTCCCTGGGACCAGATGCGGCGCCAAGAAGACAGGACTTGGACTTATCGCCCGTGCTGAACGACCGAAATATTCTTAGTCCTCGGGATTTCGACCACCGAAGACGTTAAGGGGGGGCGACTGTGGATACAAGTGGACTCCATCAAGGGGATCTTGGCCCAGCATCACCTACGGACACAACATATATGCGACACCGCTGCCGCCGCCGCAAAAGCCACCGCAAAATACAGCCGTTCTCGGAGACGGGGGTTTAGGTGAAGGAGTCGTATGGACATTATGGTATGGGAATGATACGGCGTGACTTCAAAGGGGAAAAACACGAGAAACGGTGTTGCTTTCGGGGCTGAAGGTCGATAAATAGTAAGCGCAGAAAATATGCGTTGCTGCGTGTCAAATGTAGCTGCGTCTTGACACAGGCTGTGCACCTTGTTGTTTGGATCAGCACACAAGTCTACGCCCCACCCCGGCGGAACAACGCATTTGCGGGGCCCCCGACAAAAGTCGGGGAACACATGGCCCTGGGTGGACCACGCCAGGACGCTACATTTGTGCTTCTAACTTTGGGCCGATCACCACACAACCAACCGGAGTGAAAGGCGGGCGAACCACCAAAAACAACCTACGAACTCAAGAGGAAAAAAGAAAGGCCATGCCCGGCACCGCAACACAGCAGTGGCCGGGAGCATCACCTCAGCCTCCAGCGCGTGCAGCGCCGCCTCTACCCTTCGCGTGATGGCGCTGTACAGCTTCTTGTCCGCGGCGGAACAAGACGCCCACTTGCACTGGGTTTTGGCATGCGTTGTTTTCCGCACAACGAACAGACGCGCGTCCGCCCACAACGAGCAAGAGAAAGGGTGCGAGGCGAATCGCATGTGTTCATGCATGCAGTTTATTTGCGCATGCAACAAGAGTAGGGGAGGAAGCATGAGCGGAGCGGCAAAGGAGGGGGTGGGGGGCAAAAGGCACGTCGCAAGCTGCATGTAACATCTTGCAATCTCTAGAGGCTTAACCGTCGAACGAATCAGAAACCCAAAGAATCAAAGAACAGGTTCAAAACAGAGGTGGCAACGCCCAAGAGTAAAAAAAACAGCAACGAAACGCAGGATGACGAAAAACGAAGGCCAGGCTGGGAAACCGTACGCGAACGGGACGTCCAGAGACACCCGTCGGGAAACCCGAGTGAAAAAAACGTAACCCGTGGGAAAAAACGGTTTCACGGTTGGGAAACCCGTGTGAAAAAATGGTTTGTTCGGTTGGGAAACCCGTGTGAAGAAACAGTTTCACCTCATCGTCGGCGCCCCCTTGCGCGACGGCCGCGGAGTACTTCCACAGCGGGCCGTGCTCGTCCTCGTGCTGAGCAAGGAGGTCTGCCACTTCTATCGCATCGCCCACCCTAACTGTTATGTTGTTAAAGAACTGGGGTTGTCTCTGGGGGGTAAAGCGGGGGAGGGCGGGGCGAAAATAACGGTCAACAAGCCGTTCGTTCGTGCCGCGATGAATCGCATATTGTTCACCACCGGCCTTCCTTCCGGTTAAAGAGCAACGAACACAGCTACACACTCACACAACCGAGTGTTTCACCCACTCACCCAACCACGATAAACATACGGCATGCACGGTTACGAGTACACCCCACCCACCCACCGGCAAAACGTCCTTCGTGGCAGGGTCCTCCGCCACCAGGTTCTGCATCCCCGTGTGGAAGAAGGGCACCACTTGCGGCGTTCGCGGGGCGTGCGCGATCATCCTCCCCACCCCCCACTTGAGCCGGCCCAGGTCTCTCGAGGCAGGCGGAGACCTTCCCCCTATTGTACCCGTCTACTCTCCCGTTTTCCAATGACGAAAAAAAGAGTTGCAGCGCAACAAATTGGATAGAAGTTGGGGAAGGGGGGGGGGGGGGGTGTACTCA